AACACTGGAACAAAAAGGCTCTACAAATACCCAAATCTCCAGCGTATCGCTCCGGTGTAGGAATAACAGCCTCTCGTAGCTGAGGGAGAGGTGCGGCAGGAGCGGGGGGAGGAGCTGTCGGCTGTGCAGCGGGCTGCGGGGGAGAAAACTGTGAGGTGAGCAGTTCCACTTGTGTGCCGATCCTTTGCACGTTAGCGGAGAGGTTCCGGAGAGTCTCCACAACCTCACGGAGAACCACGTCGTGATGCCCCACAAGAGCACCTTGATTGGCCAGGGCTTGGCTGAGTTCGTCCGTAGTCTTGGACTGGTGGCCTGTGTCCGCTGAGTCCATACTGGCCAGATCGTTCTGTTACGATATCCGATAGGACCCAAACGCAGGACACGGCAGAGTGTTGGAAAAAGGTTTATTGTGAGGTGGAGGAGCGTGGAGAGTAATCCGGTTGGAATGATGACTGGTGGCTGCAGGTGATGGTAACTAGGCGGCTGGAGAGTGATCCTGGAGCATAAGAGAAACAGGTGAGAAACGTATTCCATGTACAGAGAAATAGCTTAAATCGGCTAAGAAGGCTGAGAGTTACCACTGGGGTTTAAACAACGATCTGGCGCTGACATGTTGTGGAGCCTCCGCTGATATACCATTAGTAAATGGCTGAATGGGAATCAGGTGTGTAAGGCTGATTGGAGCAGGTGGAGATTTGCAGCAGGTGGAGATTGAGCCGGGAGCCAGGAGTGACAGCCACCACGCCCACACAGACAGGGAAAGGGAACACACACTCACAAGGGAGGTGGCTGAAGAGTAGAGCCACCACAGCACCAAATAATAACAAATTAGAAGGATACAGATTTCAGTATTCTGAGGCTCTGAGCCCCATTTCTTTTCCTCACTGACGGCAAAAAAACTCAGACATTATACAATTTAAAATAAAAGGGATAGGGTTAGGCTTAGGGTAAGATATTGAGTAAGAACATGTTTTTATGAACCACACAGCTTCTGGTCTTCCAAGACCCGACCGGACAAAAAGACGTGTTGCAGGCACGAAACATACTACCAATAGAAATACATTGCATTTAAAATCGTTCTGTGTGACACGAAAAAAAGGTGAAAATCGTGTTGGTGAACACGAATCAATAGATTAAATTAATTTCGTGATTAATAACACGAAATGCCGTGAGACTGGGTTGGTTGTTCATAGTAGATTGGCATATTACACTGAACAACTAGCAAACGTAGGTTAGCATATTAGCTGGAAAGCTAACTGTGTTGATTAGATAGATAGATTAGATAGATACACACTCCTACCACAACTACTACTAACGAATCTAAAACAACTAAGTTTCTCTAATATTTTGTGATTTGCATTTGATTTCGTCCAGCCAGATCAGGAAACTCCTGGCGTATCTGGCGAACAACACACACACGGGATGACCACTCTGATGCCTCGTCCTAAAAAGCCCCGGCAGCCGCTTACAAAGCTGCGATAGGCAAGATGCCGAAAACGCCTATAAGGGGAGGAATGGATGGTATACAGTGTATATATGTATATTTACACATGTTCATTTTGTACATTTCTAAAAATAAAGTTTGATGGAAATACTTAGTATCCTTTCTTCCCTGAATTATTTGCTCCTATAACATATCATTCATATATAGCAAACCATGATTTGATTTCTCATCAAACAGTAGTAGTTTATTTCAGGTAAAAATAACTTACTCTTCTATAACAACAGTTGTAGGTACAGTTCGGTTAGTTAGCGTATAAAATATACGGCTGTACTGAGGCCATTATAAGACTGATGTTCTGCTCAGCGAGCCGAAAAAAGCACTGTTAGACATGGGCGGAGCCTCTCTGGTGGTTGACTAATCAGAACAGAGTGGCCGAGCTGACCAATCGGAGCACACTGGGCTCACAGGGAGGGGGGGGCAAGAGCTGCAACGAGCCGTTTAGTGGAGAGAGTGAATACTGCTGAAGACACATACTTTACAGAGATGCTGTATGCGAAACCAATGTGAGTTTGGAAAAATGCACAGTATAAATGACATGACAAATGGCCATGACATGGGACCTTTAACAAATATACTAAGTTTGACATCTTCATTGACATTTTTCAATCTTTCAGGGAACATCCTCTAGTTAGTGTGTGACTAAACAAATATCAGTTCACAGAAATGTTATTTAATTTTTACAAGTGGCATGTTTGTATTGAACAGGTTATTTAACAGTGGAATAAAACTATTTTAAACTATTGGAAAGCACGGAAAATGTGTGTGCATTAAGATGAACCATTAAGATGACATACACATGAAGTCATGTGTTTCCCCGGGAAACAAACACAATACACACAAACGCGTCACAGATTATTTCGCGCTATTTGGTTGACGAACGAAATCATGTACGCAGATCGCGACGTAACTAGGAGTCTAGTGGACGGTATCAGTACTACAAGTAAAAAACATTTCTCCTCCTGGAGCTGCAAGCAGTGATGTTGGTCCTATAGAACTTCAAACCCTTAATACAGGGCAAACATGTGCTAGTGAGGAGCGACAACCGCACCACAGTGGCGTACATCAACAGGCAGGGCGGAGTCCGCTCCGTAGCCTTGTTGACCGCAGCGGAGAACCTGTGGTTGTGGGCTTCACAGAATGTGTTGTCTCTAAGGGCCCTGCACATCCCGGGACGGGAGAACGGGGGGGACGACCTCATGTCAAGAGGCGGGCCCCTGCCAGATGAGTGGAGGCTTCACCCGGAGGTGGTGAAGCAGGTCTGGACTCAGTTCGGGAGAGCAGAGGTGGACCTGTTCACCAATCGGCGCAACAGCCACTGTGCCCTGTCGTTCTCCCTGGCCCGGTGGGACAATCTGCCCTTGGGGGTGGACGCATTTGCACACGAGCCATGGCCAAGAAAGCTTCTTTACGCCTTTCAACCGCTGCACCTCATCCCCCCCCTCCTGGAGAGGGCTGCAGCCCTGGACGATTCCTCAGGTCTGGGGGGCGCTGTCTCAGGAAGCAGGTGCAATAGGGGCGTTACCCACTCTGGGCTAACCTCTCCAGGCTTGGCTCCTGAGAGGGACAGGCTGAGACAGGGGGGGCTGTCTGACAACGTTATTCAGACTATCCAAGCAGCAAGAGCAGGATCCACCACAGCCTGTTACAGGCCAAAGTGGGCGGGATTCCAGTGATGGTGTGAAGAAAGGAGTCTAGAGCCTCTATCGTGTACGTTGGACTCTATTCTTTCCTACTTACAGATACTGGTGGACAGGGGGTGGGCTCATTCCACAATTAAGGTGTATGCAGCAGCCATTTCATCCTGCCATGAGGGATTTGGCGGCCGGTCAGCCTTCAGTCAGCCGCTTATGTCGCGGTTCTTGCAGGGGGTCAGGAGGCAGCGTCCAGTGGTGCACGCCTCCTCCCCGCAATGGGACCTGCCGTTGGTGCTCGAGGCTCTGGTCACAGAACCATTTGAGCCTCTGGAGCTCTCCTCCCTGAAAGCACTGTCATGGAAGACAGTGTTGCTACTTGCCTTGACTTCGGCCAACAATTGGTTATGTGGAGCGCACGGCTGCCATTAGGCGCACTGAACAGCTGTTTGTGTGCTTTGGGGATGGTGTGGCTGGAAAAGCTCTCTCCAAGAAGCGCCTGACAGGATGGCTCTGCTAGTGCATTACACATGCCTATGGACGGGTGGGGAGAGCCCTCCCCACTGGGGTCCGTGCACACTCTACACGGGCTGTGGCTGTGTCAACAGCCTTATTCAGCGGCGTGAGTGTAGAAGATATGCACGGCGGTGTCTTGGTCTACGCCAAGCCCCTTCATAAAGTTTTATCTCTTGGACATGTCTGGCTCCTTCTCGTCTTACGTAACTGAATGAATGAATGCACGCACAGCATGATAGAGAGTAGTACCCATAGAGTCCAGTAGAGGGCTCCGCCTGTGCTTATATAACTAGGGTTACAATACGTAACCCCTCGTTTCTACTAACCACAGCCAGACTCCAGCTCTTCACTTTAACACACATACAATGTATTTCAATCAATCTGAAAATCTCCCTCTCAGAAATTAGCAGCTTCCCAAAATGTTGGACTGTTCCAAAATGAATCAGGTACTTTATTCCAGAAAAACCCATTGCCTAATGATTTATAAACAGCTGAACACGTTCTCCGTATTCTCTTCTTTATCTTGTTACAAAGTACAATTATTTTATTCCACACTGTACTAATAAGCAGACCCGGCTCCAGAACAAATCTACAGAGAGGGCATATGATTTTCATGGGAAGGCACACAAAACCGTCATGTGCCGCGGCCAGTGATTTTCTTTTGGGGGTGCTGTGGGGTAGCTTGACGTTTCATAGAGGGTGCTCAAACATGTAGGGTTTCCCATTAAGGTACCGGGCGCTACAGTGGAATTTTCTACTGCAACACTCCCCACACGCACATACACAGTACACCCGCGACTGTTACAATGAAGGCTCGATAATCAGCTCACGGCATATAGGTGTAAGCAGGGGTAAAGTGCTATTTGTTTTAAGTGGGGGGCGGACCTCACCTCCTCTAGGGGGATCCGGGGGCATGCTCCCCTGGGAGATTATTGAAGTTAAAAGCATCAATCTGGTGCACTTTGAGAGCAAAATGAAGAGACCTATGGATACATCTCTCAACACCCATAGGAAACAGAACTGTAAACAGATTTACTTTTTCTTTATGGATATTTTACTAATCACTCCCCTTTAAACTGTATTCTTGTTTTACTGGCATATAGTATTTCATACCTGTTTTTAATTTATTACTCTTATATTAATATCTGACATCACATACATCGTAGCATTAAAGTTCACAGTTTATTTATAATTTAAAAAATAAAACTTTTTTTTTTTAAATGTTATAAATAAATAGAAACGTGTTTATTGGGGAAGGGCAGGAATGTCAAATGGGAGGGCCTGGCCCTCCCTGGCCCTCCCACAGCGCTTAAATTATGTTTATGAAAATCAATCGTGTGTGTCACCAGGTCAAAAGGGCCAGTATACTGTGAGCACAGTGACTGGCGGTCCAGCAGAGAGAGCGGGAGTCTGCTATGGAGACAGACTGATGTGGATCAACGGGGTCCGGGTGTCAACACTCACACACTCCACTCTCAACAGAACCGTAAGACTCAGGTTTCCTCCACTCAGCTTCATGGTGTGTGTTCTGTTGGACTGATGATGTGTGTGACTCATGCTGTGTGTTGGTTCTCAGTTGAAGAAGAGTGGGGACTCAGTGACGGTGCTGGTGATAGACCCTGACAGCGAGTCTTGTAATGTCCGGAGGAAGATGCCCACCCTGCCTGTGGCGGCAGAGTGCTGTGGCCTGCCCTACACCACCAAAACCTTGCATCTGGTTAAAGACCAAAACGGATACGGCTTCCTGCTGAGACAAGAGAAGCTGGGGGGAGCACGACGGATAGGTGAGAGATACACTGAAGGACACATGAAAACAATCTAATACACACACACACACACACACACACACACACACACACACACACACACACACACACACACTTGTAATGAAGCATGGTATACCCAAATGTAGGTACTTTTGTGAACATTTTCTCCAAGAATGAAATGTATATGTCTGGAACTCCACTCGGTGGCAGTACTAGCAAAGAAAGCTAATTTGTGCGACTGAGCGGTTTATAGGAAATGGCAATGCAACGTGATCAAAAGTAAGTCAGCCATCTTTGAAGGATACCAGCGACTTGTTGACTTACCTGTACGGCTAGCAAAGTGTGCGTTCACACCGGAGTACTTTTCCCACAATAGTTAATCAGAACTACGATATATTTGCGTTCACACCAAAAAGCCCCAGGAACTAAATTAGTTCATCAGAACCATTTTTACCCGCTTTTCAGTCCCTGCTAGAGAGCAGGGACTTTCGTGGGAGAAAAAGGTTCATATGTCTGATTGGCTGTGCGGAATGCAAACCACGCCCCGTAAAACTCTGAAAAAGTGTTTGTAGCCGCCATTGTATTTGCTCGCATTAAAAACTCAGTGCAGCGCACCAACGAAGAGATTACTTTTGTGAAAGCAGTTATTATAGCAACACTAAATAAATCATCGGAGTGGTGGATTGATGAGGATGTGTCGGCGCTTCTGGCGATTTACTCGGAGGACGCGATCCAGAAGCTTCTACTGCAAAATGTAGGAGCGTTGTTCAGCAAAGTTAGCCGACCTGGGAACCGTCCACAGCGCAAAGCCATGCCGGGACGACGACAAAGGTAAAATAAACTACATGCACTGCATAGTTTTAATCTGCACAATACTGGTCTCAGATGTACTTTTATTTGCTCAGTAGATCGAGCTAGCCATGCTAGCTGAACTGGCTATCATAGCTCCAAGCTGGCTAACAACGCGCCCGCTATGAAAACGTTTTGACTTGTGAATAAGTGTGCAATGTTCTGTAATTTGCTTCACTAACTCATGGCACTAATCGTGTGTTTCAGGCGAGGTGTTTCTCTCTGGATTGGAAACTAGTGAGCTTTCCCCTCCGGGATAAAGCGATAATATAACGTTAGCAATTAGCATGCTAGCTGGACATAATGCTACCTCTGTGGCTACACTGAATGAATAGAGGTAAAAAATAACTTACATGGTAGTTGCTATAATTTCATGTGTCATTTGCAACATTCATTCTACATGTTAATGGTAAAAGCTTAAACAGTTGATTACCTGCATGCCACAAAGACTGATGTTCTAATATAATATTTTGCACATTTAAGTAAAAATGTAATTGAAATTCAATTTATTTTTCCTTTTTTTTATTGATGGTTATAATTTTACTCAGCCATGTTATGTTAGATGTCAATCCACTTACACTGTAACTACTCTGGCCTTGAAAGAAGGTTACGCATCGAACTGATGTCCACTAATCCCTATAAAACAAAGTTCAAGCATACATTAAGCACAAAACAATAAATAAGGGCACTTTGATATTTATTTTTTATTTGATATTATTTGATCCTATCTTATCTTCTACTTTACACCTGCATTTTGTACACTGTCCCTGCCTGCACCATGTCCAATGTTGTCTCTGTTGACAACCTACTAGGCGATTAAACTGATCTTGTATCTTGCTTATTTCTCCTCTTAGGAAAGCGGGCCCGGGATGACAGCTTCCTTGACACCATCATGGCGATGGAGGACCGCCGTGCCATGGTCAGCAAGGAGAATGAGGACCTGCGTGCCAAGGAGATGCACGACGAACGGCTGCTGCATTCACACAAGGCCCAGGAATCGGACGACCAGCTGCTCATGGTGATGCCGCGCCATGCTGATTCGGCGGCGCACCAGGTGGAGCAACAAAATACCTTTCAGGCTGGGCTTCTGGCAGTGCTAAGCGAGCTGATTAAATCCAACAGGCCTTCAATAAAAAAATAAAGAAAAACGTGTCGTCGTTGATAAACTGTACAATGACTTGTTGGGAGGCGTGTGGTGCAGTGGTCTGGTGCGTTGGTGTTCGGATCAGGGGAGCACAGGTTCAAACCCCACTGCAGTCAGCATGTCGTTGTGTCCCTGGGCAAGACACTTCACCCCAAATTGCCTACACCTGGGACAGTTAATTTTGTATTATTGTGATTATATATATATGCCACTGTTATTAATACTGACACTTCACTTTGTGTGTCTGCTGCTGAGCCTACCTATTATTGTTATTATATATATATATTGTTTTGATACTACTGACACTTTCTTTTATATTGAAAATGTTAACTTCTATTTACATTAAAACTTTGAACTTCTATTTACATGCATACGACACACCTGGGACAGCGTCCTGTATCTTGCTTATTTCTCCTCTGACACTTTATCTTTACAGTGACCTGTGTAGCATCCTATACATCACATGTAAGTGATTATACCATCTTATACCATCATGTTTCATCGGTTATAAACTGGCGAAGCTTTATTTATTATGTCCCACCCCAAATATGTGGCTTTGAAAAAGATAATTTCATTGTATTTCAAAATGGCGTCCATCAACATAAGCACTATTTATTTATAGAAAGAGAAATGGTTAAGTTTGTAATTACCAGGGTTGTCAGTTCAATATTTTTAATTAATTATAGTAAGGGAACATCTTAGGAGTTAGTGTAGTGCGTTTCAGAGCAGTGTAATGATTATTTGACCTAAAACTAAATGTTTTTATGAATGTCCTCTGAGAAGGACATGGGGATTTGCTAACTTTTTATTTCCCCCATTTTACACGACACAAATGGAGGCCACTATGTGCCAAAACTAACACGTAGGTTTCTGTAGGGTTCATGGCAGACGGATGCAGTTGCTCTCAGGAGGATATATAATAAAGGTGTGTTAACTGCTGAGCCTATTTACTGTGCATACGACACACCTGGCACAGTTTATTCATTTCACACAGGTTACGCAATCCATAGCGCATGCATTTCGTCGTCCAATCCTTTTGTCAATCCTTCTTAACCGCCTTCGCTTCCGAATCAGCATTGCTATTGCATTTGACTGGTCGACGATCTGTATTTGTGTTTGCTTAAATAACTCAGACGAAGCTCATGTCTGAGGTCAGAAGGTAAACAGACGCCTCATATACAGCAGGTGGGCGTGGCAGTATACGCGGGAGGTTTTTCTTCTTCTTCTTCTCTCGGTTTTTTGGCGGATTGCAACTTTAAGGTGCATACCGCCACCTACTGTACTCGCCGTGAAGTTGTTTGCGGCCTGCCAGTAAACCCAAAGCAGAAGAAGAAGAAGTGACGTCAGCGGCTTCATTTGCCTAATCCACCCCCAAGAACTCATTTCGGTGTGAACGCGATCTGCTTTAGTTCATCAGAACTAAAAGAGTTCTCATGAACTGAGTTCTCATGAACTATTGTGGGAAAAGTACTTGGTGTGAACGCGCCTAAAGTAGCTTATTCAACCTATATTTTGTAAACATGGTCGGTAGGAACTGTTGCGTTGTTCTTAACAGCCAATAAATTAAAATAATAATAAATGAAACAAATAAAGGACTAAACATGGAAAATGTATACAGTAAGGGAGACGTAGCCAACATCAGCAAGAGACGTCAAATGGGATTGGTAGCAGCCGTCTGCTGACTGTTTACTGCAAGTGTCAAAAAGAATAGCTGATAAGTTGTTTATCCTCGGGTCAGTTGAGTCTTACTAATGCCAAAATTGGCGCTTTGAGGAGGTAGAGTAACATACATTTTTTGGACATGTTATGCTTCTCATGCACTACGGTCAGGATATTGTAACAGTTTTCAGTATATGTATACTTATTGATCAAGTTACCAACTGAAGCTGTAAACTCTAAAGACCATTTAATAAACCGTTATAATCAGGTGATTTAAATTCTCTCTGAACCTTTATTGATTCCTATCCTTTGCTGCTGTGACCCAGTTCACATGCTGAGGGAGATTGATGTGGGGAGTCCAGCTGAGGGGGCAGGGATGGAGGATGGAGACCTCCTGCTGGCTGTCAATGGGAAACCTATCGAGTCTATGGAGCATGAGGACATCGTCAAAGAGGTTAGACAGAGCGGGGAGGCAGTCATCCTCACCACGATATCTATACCAGGAAGAGACTTCTACAGAGAGGTAAGCACCATGATATCAGGACTTTCACTTCTATTGGACTCATCGCACAGACACTGTGCATCAGAATGTGTCTTCCACTGCTTTCTCTTGTTTCCCCGCAGATAGGAATTTCTCCGTTGTTGTTCTATGACGAATGTTCAGTCAAGGATAACAGGCAGCGGGCTGTCTCACACTGCACGAAGAACCAGGGTGAAACCCAGCTGAAACATGGAGATGGAAGTCCAACATATCCAACAGAGTGTGTCCCGGGTCAGTCAGGAACTTTACCCACACAGGTATGATCTCACAGCTTATTACATCTGTGCTTCTGGCAGGAATACTGTGTCCATCCCCAACAAGGGGCTATATAACTGTAGATTCACGACTGAAACGTTGTTACATTTCCATAATATTATACAACTAAATTAGTGGACATTGTCAAATTTGTATTGCATTTGTCTGGTTGTAGAATCATGTGTGTCTCTGAGCCACAGCAGACTGATTCAGAGCGGGTCATTCTGCTGTTGGTTCCAGACTGATTCAGAGCGGGTCATTCTGCTGTTGGTTCTGGACTGATTCAGAGCGGGTCATTCTGCTGTTGGTTCTGGACTGATTCAGAGCGGGTCACTCTGCTGTTGGTTCTGGACTGATTCAGAGCGGGTCACTCTGCTGTTGGTTCTGGACTGATTCAGAGCGGGTCACTCTGCTGTTGGTTCTGGACTGATTCAGAGCGGGTCACTCTGCTGTTGGTTCTGGACTGATTCAGAGCGGGTCACTCTGCTGTTGGATCTGGACTGGTGTTGCTTGTGTTGGTGGATAAAGCTGCTCCGTGTTTGGAGTCGCTGTGCCGCTGTCACTTCTGTTCCCTGATCTCTGCGTCACCGACCGATTTGATATTTGTGTGACAGAAACAAATAAATAAATACAACTTACAGCCGCGGCCGGAAAATCAGGAAGCAACGTTACTACGCTATAATCGATTATGTTCGGTCCCTGCATCGATGCAGAATCGTCCACGTCCGCATCGCGATGCATCGTAGAAACGATTAATTTCAACACCCAGCAGCCAGCTTAGCAATTTAGTCAAAACATGTATAAGTGCCAGAACACATTTCTCTGCGGCAACATTAAAGGCATCGTAACCCTTCTCCTTAGAAACCCTTTAATTTCCTTTTAAGCATTTCAGTTTAAAATACGTATAATAATAATATTACATTTAATTGTATATCGCTTTTCAAAACACACAAAGATGTACTTTGTATAAAATGTACAACAGATGTTTTTTGAATAGTAATTAGTGTCATAGATGGTTAAAGGGATATTCTGAATAAATGTCCCTCTTTTTTGTGTTTTTCAGCTGCCAGAGAGAACAAGTGATGTTTTCTTGTGATTGGAATGCATGGAACAACTATGACCTCAGGAGACAGGAAGAAGAGCTTCCGACATTGTTCTAATTTTCTCCTGGGACCGGTGTTGGGCCCATGTTTTTGTGATAATGACATTGTATGAATTGATTTCTTAATCCTCTGAAGTCCAAATGTACTTTTTGATTTATATACTTTTGTTAATTATAAGCAATGGTCATGTTTTTGAGTGAAGACTACTGCATGATATAAGCTGTGAACTGTCTTTAAAATAATGAGCATGATATATGGTAAATGGACTGGCATTTATTAAACGACCACTCAAAGCACTTTACAACACTAGCCAGCATTTACCCATTCACACACACACAAACACACACACACACACACACACACACACACACACACACACACACACACACACACACACACACACACACACACACACACACATACACACACACACACACACACACACACACACACACACACACACACACACACACACACACACACTCTCAGGGAGCAGTTTGGGTTCAGTGTCGGCCCAAGGACACTTCGACACTCTACCTCCTGAGCCACGGCCGCCAATATAGAAGCTAATGAATAAATATGTGTATCGCTGAATACTTGTCTGTCAAGGTCTTTATTTTATATGATTTGCTGTAATGGTGCTGGAAAGGTTTAATTTTGTGGCCCCATGTAGAGAACTAAATAAATATAACATTGGAAAGAAGAAAATAAAAGATTATGATGGCGCTATGGAGAGACTTTGATAGGTAGATATTTTTTTTATTTCCATGCAACAGCACATGTGGGTATTGTGTTGGCATTGAAGTTTTGGGCTGAGAAAACGTTTTCAGGAAACAGCACCACGATATGGGTAAAGTAAATGTGATTTAACAACTTTAAATTAAGATCACTTTTTGATAAAATACAGAAATGTGCACAAAACTCAGAAAACATAATTGTTGGCTAAAAAAATGTTTGCTTTTTATTATAAACTGTTATTTTCCAATTATTACTTTGAGGCATCATGGTTGCTACGCTCATATAATCCTATAGTAAAGTAAAGGAACCACACGAGGATCAGGAGAGAAGAATGTACACAATGAAAAGTCAAACAATATGCAATATTTACATTATGTCACTGAAAGCATGCACTAATTACCATTAACTGTATGCTGGCATTCCTATTCTTTATTTTGTATCTTTGAAAAAAGGGGGGAAAAAGAAATATGACTTTGTGTGAATTTCTGCAGATGGACAGTCAAAAGATACAGGATTAAATCTTTAAGGTTTAGACTTTTCAGCAAATATATATTTTAAAGTAGATGCAAACTCATCAGGTATGAAAAAGGTGACAAGGACCCGGCAGTGGCGGTTCTAGACCAATTTGACTGGGGGGGCCAGGCTGGGGCCAGTTATTTTCTGAGAGGGGCACAATAAATGCAGGACGAAAAAGACAAAGAGAGTATTAAGTAATTGCGCATAAGAAAACAATGCAATACAGTTATTGGTATTTGTTTCAGTACACATATTTATTTCAGATACTTATAGTTACAGTTTTTACGCTCTAATGCAGTGGTTCTCAACTGGTCAGGCCTCGGGACCCACTTTTTTCCTTTGTCAATAAATCGCGACCCAAAACTTTGAACCACTCAAATCTATCCAACAAAAAATCGTGCTGTAATATATACGCTTTTCAGCATACAATATTAATTAAAGTGAAGTACAGTGCATATATCCCTTATATCCCTTCACAGAACTAAAGTATGCTTTTAAAAAAGGTTTAATGAGATGATGAAATCAAGTTTCTAGAATCAAAGCCGAACTCTATAAGATAAAGAGGCACACTTGTATTGTACTCAATAAAAAGGCAGACTTGTAGCCAATCCTGCAAATTCATCACACATGAAAAATGTGACATGCTGAAAACCCAACCCCAGAAGGGGGGTCTGGGGGGATTATCCTCCAGGAGATTTTTAGAAATACTAACATTTAAACTACGCATTCTGGTAAACTCTGAGAAGAAAATAAATAAATATATTACTACCCTACATATTAATAATATTGATGCCATTGTTTGTGTTTCACTTTGTTCTGACAGCTGAACTTGCTCCTCCTCACAGAGAGAAGAGTAAAGAGGAGATAGTTTGTGTGAATTACTTTAAATTGTGGGTAAGGGTAGATAGCTCCCATTGTTCTGTGACCTGTCAATCATCAAACCGGGGGTCATATTTCATGTGTTCATTTTTATCTGAAGTTGTACGCATGGATGTATAAAAAGTTCTACCGCAAAGTTATTCTCCGTGGGGACTTCCGGCAACAATCTTGATTCTGATTGGCCAGAAGACTCGAAAAAACATCAGCAAAGATGTTTTATTGAGAAGATGATCACTACACACAGAAGTTTTCAAAACCGTTTATGTTCCCCGGTACTTCCAGTCCAACGCCTACTGCATGCACAGCGTTAGAAAATCGGGCCTTCAAACGCGACCCACCAGTTGAGAGCCACTGCTATAATGGGTCCGACTAGAATGACAAATAGCGTTAGTTCCGCCTATTCCGTCAGCCAACAAATCATTTAACCCTCCTATTGTCTTCGTTTCCCCCCCCTTACTTTGGTGTTCGCGGTCAAATTTGACCTGTTTTAACTGCTATTACATTAACACAAAAACCATTAATCATCACCAAATTTGATTTAACACCCTTTCAAACTGTAAATATTGTATCAGACTACTGGTATACATGAAAAACTGCAGTAAATATACAAAGAATAGACACTGAACATGTATTGCGTGTGCCAGGTGTGATCCATGTGGGGGGATGGGCACATAAGAGCGGGAAATGTGTCATTGTTCTGTGTGTGTGTGTTCGTGTGTGCCAGGTGATTCATATGGGGGGATTGGGCACATAAGGGGACACACACACATTGTGTGTGTGTGTGTGTTTGATCTGATCCGGATGGTTACTAATTCCAGTTCTTTATGGCGGTCATTTTTTACCGGGAACTCCATGAGTGTTACAAAGTTGACTAAATCATCCAAAATTCAATGAAAGTGGTGATCAGCCATTTTATATGTTCAAATGTCTACTGTGGAGGATATCATAAAGCCTTAATGCAATCGAATGTAAAACAAAAAAGTTATGATAAACAATATCGTGTTTAACGGTGAGGGATGCGTTGCCACGGCAACAGCTTTTGAGGAAAACTCACATGTGGCACATACTTTCAGCTACAGAAACCATATTTCTATAAATATAAGTTTATATATGTATTACTTCCAGTGGCGGCCGGTCCATAGGGGCGCTAGGGGCGCTGTCTTTTGTTTCCCATGCTTGGATATCACTTTATATGTAGAGAGGAGGTTTCCCATGGTTGTTAGAAGTTTATTAATAAGTGGGCATTTATCACAGAAGTGATTGTTCTGTCTCCACGTTTGTTGCATTGTCTGTGATGTATTTTCCAACGGTTATAGCTCCTGTTCTGTCCCAGCAACACTACACGGTTTGCAGCTCCACCACATTTTTGGTTTATCTTCGGTGTCGCTTAAAATCTGCTTCCCATCGGACTAAAACCTCCACGTAATCTGAAGACAGATACTTGAAGTTATTTAAACCTTTTGCAAACTTTATGTTCTTTCTTGCTCTAGCCTTGCCAGTTACATTGTACATAACACATATATTATCATTATGCTAACTGGTTGTTCGTGTTAGACGATGTAGCTTTTTCATTTCTGAGTTATTGCTATATGTAAATAAGCCTGTTTGTAAATAATCCTCAGAGAAACAAAGAAAAAACACAATTTATGACATTTTGTGCTGTGGTTATTTTTTTTAAATTGCATTTATTCACAGTTCAGTTTGAAATGCTGTAGTGACTTGTATTGAACCACTTAAATATTTATAATTAATGCTACTGAAAAGATGCTATTAATTTTATATCTCACATGCAGTTCACTGTAAAGCTACTTGGTGAAGGTGTTGGTTCATAAAACATGAACAGTTTTAAGAAAGAAAAAAACAGACCAGTTCTGAGAACACAAATTCCTGGTAAAGTAGTAGATGTTCAGGTTGATAAATAATATTTTCCACACTGAAGATTATGGAGGTATTGATCAGTCTTCTCATATTTTTAAGCCTCGATTTCTCCTTTCCCCCCCCCTCTAACATCACCAGAAGTCATCATTTAAGGGGTCATTTCTCGAAAAAAAATTCCGGGGGGCAACCCCCCGGGTAGGTCACTTACGGTACGTCAAGAGCCCCACCAAAAAAAAAGACCACCGGCCGCCACTGATTACTTCTCATTATGTTTATACATTAACTAGATTCCTGTTCATATTTCTATGTCTATATTTTGTATTTCTTGTTATGTATACACTTTTTCTACATTAATTAAAAAATGTATGTATATATATATCTATATCTAGAGAACAACATATATTATACTTAACATTTTAATAAAATAACACTGATGTGAATATGAAAACCAGGCATCATACAGTGATAAAAAAGATTTTTCAGGCGTTGAAATGATGATGATGCCAGTCTGGTACAGTAGGTGGCGGTATGAACCTTTAAGTTGTTTGCGAGCCGCCAATAATCCATTAAAGAAGAAGAAGGGGGGCGTGGCTCCTCCCACTAGATCAGAGGCCTGTACTACGAATCCAGTTCAACATACCCTGGATATGAGTCAACTCGGTAACTCAAGCCAGGGTTTCTCAGTCCGGCTGAGTGCGCGTTCACATGAAAGGGGCGGGTTAGCAACATTTGACCAATCACAAACATGGACAAGCGTACTGACAGCGCAGCGTCATACTTTCTGAATGAAAAGTCAACTATAATAGTGTAAGGAATGCGTGGAAAGGGTAGGACCCAAATGCAGACTATAAAACAAAGTAACAAGGTCTAGAAACAAACACGAGCTTTATTCCAAAAAGCTGCACAATAGCATGGCATGAAACCATGGGCGTCGCAGCCATTATATGAGGGTGGGACAAGTCCCCCCCACTTTTTCAAATGATTAGTTTAGACCCCCCCACTTTTACTATGCGGAAAGTCCGTGAATCGGTCTATCCACTCGCTGCACTTTGTCGAGCGCTGTGTCAGTGCTTCACTATCAAATGAAATCCATTCCACTTGCTTATTGAGAGAATGCCCAAATCAATGAAACTCCGTTCCATGTTTTCACTGCTACTTTGTACCAAGGCAGATTCTCACATAGCGCGCGCATGTTCAAGGAGTGATGTCATAGTTGGACAGCTCAGATCTGTTGTATGAAGCGATGCCGGTAGCGGAGGTAAGGCACACACACCAAATGTTCAGGAAATGGTTAATACAGCGAAAATCAAAGCTGACGATCTCTTGGTTTGATATGTTTTCTCCCCCAGACAACATGGACATAAGAACA